AGTTTTTGAAGGCTTCTTCACATCTTCACCTTTACTATGTGATGAGCTGGCATAAAAGCAAGAACCCATTGATTTCAGAACTGAAGAGTACCAGTGTCGCATTCCCATAACACGCTTCTTCTTTTCTACAAAACCTTTTTATTTTAATTTCAAAACACTACCGCAATAAATAAATAAGATTTATTTTTTTAGGAAATCTGATCAATTTATATTGGAAATTAAAAATTTGCTGGTTTGATGGTTTGGTATTTATAAGCATAGATTTCTTGGTGACTAAGCAGATAGGTTGAAGACGATCATGTTTTTTTTTATTATTTAAATGAAGCTGCCTAGAAATTTAAGAAATCCGATTTTAATATAATATATTTCATTTAAAATGTAAATAAATTTGACCACGTAACTTTTATTTTCCTTGCTCATCAAAACATTGGAAAAAGTGGTTTTCTCAACATACATGAAAAAGACTGACCATGAATAGATACATTTTGAATTAGTTTTAGTTATAACTGAAAGTCTGATTTAAACTAGTTAAAACTATATTTATTTTCTCTAAAAAAAAAATATTCTTTTGAGAAAAAAACGATAGACTTTCGAATTTCATCGATGTATATATATTTTATGAAAAATAAAGAATAAATGAACCAGTCCACCTAATGCAATATCTAGAAAGTAATGACGTAAAACTACCGTACGAGAGTGTAGGTTTATTTTTTTTTTGAGTAAATTCAAGTCCATTACAAGGGGAAGTAGGGGAGGGGGGGACTCGAACCCTAGACCATTACCCTATTGGTAAATGCTAGGTTTATTCAAACCACTACCGTAGGTTTATTCAATGCACGTATATGATCGGCTGCGGGTTTCTTTGTTACAAAAAAAGTTAAAAAAAATATTAATAATAATAATAAGGGTAAATTCCACTTTCCCCTTTGTACTTTGACTCGGTATCACTTTACCTCTTATAGTCTTGATTGCATCGATCTGCCCGCTGCACTTGAAAAATTGTTTCAATGTGGCCATCGTTGTTAGTTGTCAGATATTTGACCTTAACACCGTTTGATCTAAGCCTTGAAATTACAAAAACGTCACATCTCCCTGTTTAAATAATTATTAGAAAAGAAAAATAAAATAAAAAACAAAAAAATAAAATAATTAAAAATTGAAGACAACGAGAAACATAGTCCACGTCACCAGCTACAATTTATTTTTTATTTTTTTAATAATTATTTAGATTGAGAGGGATGGCTTTTTTTGTAATTGTCAAACTCAGATCAAACGGTGTTAAGGTCAAGGTCTGAAAACTAACGGCGAGTGCCGTATTGAGACATTTTTTCAAGTACAGGGGGCAAATCGATGGTGAAGGTCTGAAAACTATCGGCGATAGCCATACTGAGACAATTTTTCAAGTACATAGGGCAAATCGATGCAATCGGGAGTAAAAGAAAGTAAAGTAATACCGAGTCAAAGTGTGAGAAAGTTGAATTTACCCTAATAATAAATAAAATAAAATGCTTTTTACCGTTTGAAAATTGCTATTTGCGGTTTATATCAAAAAACACTT